GTCAAATTTAAATGAAATAAATAAATAAAAAAATAAAGTTATGTAAAATAACTCATTAAAAAAAAAACAGAAAAAGCAAGAGTTATAATTTTGGTGAAATTCAATTTATTAAAATTTATTTTATGGCTGTGCTTTTTTGGTGTCATGCCTAAGAACTCTCTCCTAAGCTATATGTCTCAAAGGTTTTCTATCATAGTGTTTGCTAAAACATTACAGTTTCACATTCTACATTTAGACCTACTATCCTTATTTTTGTATAAGGTATGAGGTTTAGGTTGTTTGCCAATGGGTATGCAATTGCTTGAGCACCATTTGTTGAAAAGATCATCCTTGGTTCACTGAACAGATTTTGTACCTTTTCCAAAATCATTGGTCATACTTCTGTAGGGCTATTTCTGGGTTCTCTATTTAGTTCCATTGATCTACATGTCTTTTCCTTTGACAATACTACATAGTTCGTATGACCCAGATTATTATAGCTAGGTAAAAACTGTAAAGCCAGGCAGAATGATTGCTTCCACTTTATTTTCCTTTTACACAATTGCACAGCAGATTTGATAAAAAAAAAATTATTATCACAGGGTAACTTAGAAACAGGAGTTGAAGATCAGCAGGTTCCATTTCTCCCCCTTCTCTGGTGAGCTGCAATTTCTCTTTTTTTCTAATTTACCAAAGGGTGGGTGCTCGCTAAAGAAAAACAGAAAGAGAGAGAGGAAAAAATGAGAAAGCACCCCACCCTCCCAGGGAAGATAGGCATTCTGTAATCCCTTGTCCATTTTCCTCTTGAGATTTTGAACATGCCTGCACATATGTCTGGTGTGATTTTTAAGCCACTGGGTTCAGGACTTGAATTGCATAGTCAGTCATGTGGGATCAGCTTAACCACCACACCGTTAGCTGGCTGATGAGCTAGACATTATTTTTTCAAGAATTTTAATTTTATTTTACATACTATATTATTATTTATTACTATCATTATTTTAAAAATTGCTATAGGGTAGATACACTCACCAGAGAGGAAAAGTGAGAAAGCAAGCTACCAGATCCTGGACTCCATACGAGAGTCCAATGCCTTTAACTACCACACCACCTCCTGGTTCCAACCTGGAAATATTTAAAGAAGTTGAAAATACAGCTCAACTTAGGAATTTGTGATTGCTAGAGCTAAAGTTATTTTTTTCCCCTTCCTATTGTTGAGGCCAGGGTAGTAAGTTACTTGGGAGGAATTCCTGACTACTCTGGGGTTAAAGATCAAAGACCCTTGCCTTCCTAATATAAAGGTCAATGGCTGGATGTTATCTCAGCTAGAGGATCTGAAAGACTGTCCTAGTAAGAATTTAATTCGAACAGAAACTGTTCAGGATTGGTACTGAATGTCTTTAGGATGCAAGAGTCGGGGGGGGGGCATAAAATTGGCATTCGTTTTGTTCACTCACACATTCATACACTGGGAAAATAGAGACATTTTAGCATCATCATCATTATTCTCACGGTATTTTAGAAACATCATATTCTTTCCATTGCTGGAATATAACAGATGTGCGGTACACACAGTTTAGTGATTGTCAGTTGGGTGATTTTGGCACAGGTATAAGTCATGGTGCTATTTCAGCTGGAGGGGAAGAGACTCGGGCAGGAGAATTATCTTTATACATAAAAAGAAAAGAGATTAGGTGCATTTCAAGCAGAAGCACAAGGCTGAATTACGGCTGGAAGACAGGAGCTACTGGAGAGTTAGTGTTAACATAATTAAAGGAAGAGTTGATTTGCTGGTAGGGCTGAATGAAGCAGCTAGAATATGAGTGTTGAATGTCCATTGCTGCAGAAGTCCAAGCAGATGCTGGATGACTGGGTCAGGGACATTGGAGGACTCCATGTAGACATAGATGGGGTTGAACAAGGAGACCTCTGAGCCCTCTTCTGACAAAATGCCTGGCTTTGTAAATGTCTGAAGTTGGTTGTCACTCTTGTGTATTCTCAGTGGCAAGATTATTTCTCTACTAGCACAAGTAGGATTCAGAAACTTAACTGATACAAGAAAATGAAAGTTTATTAACAAAATATGAATTCTTATCATATTCAATTAACACTTAATAAATATAATGAAGCTTGAATATTATTGGAACCAAAATTTTCCATGACTGTTTTTTTTTTTTAATTTGCTATTGGGTGTATGCACTCACCAGATAGAGATAGACAGGGAGAAAGAGAGAGATCCTGAGAAAGCACCCCCAGGCGGATTAGCCATGCTGCAATCCCTTCTTCTTCACTCTCTTCTTGGGATTTGGGGCATACACGCACATGTGTCTGGCACATTTTTCACACCACCTACACTCAAACTGCAGTTGGCCATGTGGGATCCAGCTGCCTTACTCACCTGGCTGGCCTTCCATGATCTATTATAAAATTGGATTTATTTTAAATTCATTTAAAATAAGTCTTTTGATGATTTATCACTTTCCCTCTCACTTTCTCTCCCTGTCTCTTTCCAGTGAGTACATGCACCCTATGGCAAAATCTAAAGAAATTGTAAAATAAATAAAGGCTCTGAGAATTCCTGGAGCAAAGAAACTATCAACAAGTAGCCCCAAAGTCTTGAAACATGTTTACCGATTTCTGTTTCTTTCAATCTTTCTTTCATTTTTTTTCTTTTTTCAAAACATGACTTAGTACTGATCTGAACACCAGCATTTCTCCTGGGAAATGTCATAAGCAATGAATGTCACATTCAAACTCTGTACTCCTTTTTGAGTCTAGTTTAATTTATTACCAGTATTTCATAATCTCCAGTAAACCCAGAAAAAAATAGCCCTGGCACATCTAAGTGGCACAGTCCATAACATGCAGGACTACAATACTAGAAACAACAGGGATGGTGATGGATCCGAACCCCAAGTCAGCCTGGATACACATCAGGTACGTGCATGCAGACTCCAGGTCCCAAGGAGCTGGAGTGCTCAGGAAAGGGGATCATGGTGTGATGAGACCCTGTCAAAGCTGTCATATGTGTGCATACAATATCTTTTTTTTACAAAAAGGAAAAAAATCGCCTGAATTCTCTCAATGCTAAAATGATATTTAGTTATCAAACTAAATTATTCCCACCCCAAAATCTCTCCCTGTGGAACTTGGCTTTGACTCTCCTTAGCACATCAGGGAAACCAAATCTAATAAATCAAAGTACCAATGAAATTTTGCACTTCCTCCCTTTCCTCTGATTGTCCTGATAAATCCAAGAGTTGGCAACAAGAACCACCTCACTTTCCTATCCTAACCCTAAACATAGTACATGTCATTCAGCATGCTCTAATGGCTCCTGTCTCATGTCCCTTAGCGCATGTTCAGAATGTCTCCATTACATTCTATGAGGGTATTGTTTTATGTTTACTTACTATAATGCATATATATACATATATGTATTATACATATCTATACATATATATGTACATACATGCACACACACATGAAGTTATCACAACAAAATGTAAATTCAGATTAAATGAGAGAATTTCACAAGTGCAATAAAGCATTCTGTAGTATATCAAGGTTGTATGTCAGACCAACCAGCTTGCCTAGAAATCATTGATCACTTTCATTATAGATAATCTGTTTAGTTTTACAGAGAAAACAAAGGTATTGCACACACTTAAAAAGTGTTCTCCATTTAGCTTTGTGTTAATTTAAAATACATATTTCTATTCCAAAATGACACCTAAAAATTATTCTAACAATGGCAAAAATATAATTCTGCAATTACAAAAGAGCTAACCTAGAATCCACGATTAAGTTATTCTCATGTTTATAGGTGTGATCATGAAATAAATACTACCCTGTGCTCCACTGCAAGCTTTTTAGATTTCATTTAAACACATATACACATCAGTTAAAGGAGGCTTTAGAAATTATAGTCCATGCATTTTTTCAAAACAGTTCTCCAAGAGCCAACCAGCCCTAAAACCTGAAGGACTCCACCAGTCCATAAGGCACACAGAAAAATGTTAAATTCTGGGGTAAACAAGACTCCAGCATAACACCCAAAGCAGTAGGTATTCCGCAGCAAACTGGGAGTACTTCAAGGTTAGTCTATAGTCTTCTTTAGAACTAGTTTCATCACAAGGGTTTAAGAAGGTAGAGATTTTAACACTACAGAGTACATTTGGGTGACAGGTTTCTTTTGTGTTAACTTGACTTTCCTGAATGACCTAGCTAGTGAATAAGTCACTAATCATTTTGGTCACCAGGCAAATCAAGTCTGTGAGATAGAAAGCCAATATTCAAAATACCTTATGTGAACCCATCAGATGATTTGTTTTTGACACAAACACATAACCTCAGTATGAGATATCTAACTAAAGCAAGCACATCCAAGAGAGACCAAGATAGCACCTCTTCTTCTAAGGTTTAGGTTTTGCCCAGAATTCTTGATACATGGAATAGCCTATACCAAGAGTCATTGCTCCCACAACAAAGCCTAGGGCTGCCACACACACGTGTATCAGGTGAACAGACATTTTAGTATTTCCTCGGCTCTTTGATTTGTATAGTCCATATGCAACAATTGCTGCAAAACCTGCCATTCCAATGGGGACAAATGGTGCCTCTTTAGCTTTTTGAATACGTTTGGAGCCCTGATCTTCAGTATATGAAGTGAGAAACATCACTGTTGGTTGACATGGTGACTGAAGACTCTTCCTGAGAGTTTCTATTAGATTCAAGTGCAACAAAACCCCTCACACTCCAGCTGGCCTCTAGTAGAGTATTTTTTAAAGTCTGGCATAGGCTGAAGCTGTCAGACACATGACCGAACTCAAGAGCTATACCCTGAAAAATGAAACATTCTCTCTGAGTGGCCTTAGGATGAGAGACCTTTCCACTTGACTTGGCTTTTGAGTGGCAGCTGCTGTGATCAGAAGTCCTTTCTTCTATGTGGGTGACAACCACAGAGGACCCTTCATCACTGGCTGAAGCATGACTGAGTCACTAGGCATCTCACAGCAGCTTTCACGTCCTTATTCCTCAGGCTGTAGATGATGGGGTTCAGCATGGGGGTCACCACCCCATAGAAGAGGGAGATGAGCTTGTCTGAAAGATCTGTCTTGTCTGCCCCTAGGGGGTCCTTAGACTTGGGCTTAGCATACATAAAAAATAAGGTTCCATAGAAGACAACCATGACGGTGAAGTGGGCAGAGCAGGTGGAGAAGGCCTTTTTTTTCCCCTCAGCTGAGGGGATTCTCAGGATGGTGACAATGATGAAGACATAGGACAGAGAGATGAACAGAACTGGAATGCCCAGAAGGATCACACTGGATACTGTCATGCTGATCACATTGATGAAGATGTCAGCACAGGCCAATTTTAGGACAGCCAAGATCTCACAGGTGAAGTGGTTGATGACATTGTCCCCACAGAAGGGCAGCTGAATTGCCAAGGACGTGTTTACTAGAGAAGCCGCCCCACCTATAGCCCAGGAGCCCGCAGCCATGGGCACATAGGCAGCCCGGCTCATGATCGCAGGGTATCTAAGCGGGCTGCAGATGGCCACGTAGCGATCAAATGCCATCATGCTCAGGAGCACGCACTCTGTCCCTGCCATGGCAAAGGAGAGACCCATCTGCACAGCACAGGCTGAGAAAGAGATGGTTTTATGTGGAGTCAGGACAAGGTCCAGGAACAGCGGGACTGAGGAGGTTGTGTAGCAGATGTCCAGGAAGGAGAAAAACCTGCCATTCCAATGGGGACAAATGGTGCCTCTTTAGCTTTTTGAATACGTTTGGAGCCCTGATCTTCAGTATATGAAGTGAGAAACATCACTGTTGGTTGACATGGTGACTGAAGACTCTTCCTGAGAGTTTCTATTAGATTCAAGTGCAACAAAACCCCTCACACTCCAGCTGGCCTCTAGTAGAGTATTTTTTAAAGTCTGGCATAGGCTGAAGCTGTCAGACACATGACCGAACTCAAGAGCTATACCCTGAAAAATGAAACATTCTCTCTGAGTGGCCTTAGGATGAGAGACCTTTCCACTTGACTTGGCTTTTGAGTGGCAGCTGCTGTGATCAGAAGTCCTTTCTTCTATGTGGGTGACAACCACAGAGGACCCTTCATCACTGGCTGAAGCATGACTGAGTCACTAGGCATCTCACAGCAGCTTTCACGTCCTTATTCCTCAGGCTGTAGATGATGGGGTTCAGCATGGGGGTCACCACCCCATAGAAGAGGGAGATGAGCTTGTCTGAAAGATCTGTCTTGTCTGCCCCTAGGGGGTCCTTAGACTTGGGCTTAGCATACATAAAAAATAAGGTTCCATAGAAGACAACCATGACGGTGAAGTGGGCAGAGCAGGTGGAGAAGGCCTTTTTTTTCCCCTCAGCTGAGGGGATTCTCAGGATGGTGACAATGATGAAGACATAGGACAGAGAGATGAACAGAACTGGAATGCCCAGAAGGATCACACTGGATACTGTCATGCTGATCACATTGATGAAGATGTCAGCACAGGCCAATTTTAGGACAGCCAAGATCTCACAGGTGAAGTGGTTGATGACATTGTCCCCACAGAAGGGCAGCTGAATTGCCAAGGACGTGTTTACTAGAGAAGCCGCCCCACCTATAGCCCAGGAGCCCGCAGCCATGGGCACATAGGCAGCCCGGCTCATGATCGCAGGGTATCTAAGCGGGCTGCAGATGGCCACGTAGCGATCAAATGCCATCATGCTCAGGAGCACGCACTCTGTCCCTGCCATGGCAAAGGAGAGACCCATCTGCACAGCACAGGCTGAGAAAGAGATGGTTTTATGTGGAGTCAGGACAAGGTCCAGGAACAGCGGGACTGAGGAGGTTGTGTAGCAGATGTCCAGGAAGGAGAGGTTCCCCAGGAAGAAGTACATGGGTGTGTACAGGTGGGAGTCAATGACTGTCACCAAGATGAGGACCCCGTTGCCCAGCAGGATCACCAGGTACATTGACAGGATGAGAACAAAGAAGAGTTTTTCTAGCTTTGGGTGGTCAGAGAGCCCAAGGAGAATGAACCCCATTACAGGAGAGGTCTGATTGTCTTTTTCCATGTAGTATTTCTTGCATCACCAGCAAAGTACAAAGCAGCACATCAAGCTTACTTGGAAAGAGTCCTAGGCCTCTGGGATATGTTGTAGTCCCTGCTGCCTAACAGGAAAAAATTATGAAGACAGTAGAAGGTTTTCCTTACAGAGGTCAGATCTAGACCCAACTTGGGGGAAGGGCTCAAATGTACCTACTCGTAGGAGCCTACTTTGATTTTGCTGCACTCTCCCCATGCTCATAAAGGCTTCAAGAGGGGAAGCGACTAGTACAATCTTCTAAACGAGTTGATGACAGAGACAAGATTTGAACCCAGCAAAGGTAATTCCTGGCCTACAAGACCTTTTTCTCTGCATTATGATTAACAGAGCATAGCTGGAAAATGCTGTGAATTATTTCTCTTAATGCAAGTTTAAGAACTTGTACTTAATCTGGTTTTTCTTAGAATCTCAGAAAGGAAGCTCCCCTAGCTGATTCAATTCTTTGAACTAGCAATTGTTGAGCTTTGCTTACATGTGATAGGACCATGCAGAAAATGTTAATCCACATCCCCCGAGAAAAATCCCTGCTAAGTCTCCAGCATGAGAGGATTACATGATCAGTCTACTCACTGCTAGTGACATGGCTTTGGCTGCAGTTAGCCTTCGGGTCCGCCTATTCTAGATGTGCTTTTACAGTGATATATGGGAGGTCTGACAGTTTGAAATGTTCTAAGACCAACTAAGGGATTAATTAGAGTAACTGAACCCACACTATGGGACATCACCATACAGCTTACTCATCAGTTAACTCAGTTATTATCAACCCCACACTAACTGCAGTTATCAGATAGTAAGGCATATGATATTAACGTCTAATCCCCTTTCTTTGAATATGGTGAAAGTCTTAACCAGAATGAAGAAGGGATATTTTCCTTTGTCTTTTTGCTTCTGTATTATATTCTTGGGTAAAATTCTGGCACTGACCAGGTTCTGTGTTCACACAAGCACTTAGCTTATAAGAAGACCTGCGTGTCATTTGTACAGGACTTCTGGGTTCTTACCTACCATTGTCCAGGCTCTAAATTCAGAGTCATCAGGAGTAATATTCATATAGCTCCTTCTTAATTGGAGTGTGTGTGTGTGTGTGTGTGTGTGTGTGTAAGAGGAGGCAGACGATGGCATCTACTCTATGCCACATTCTTGGAATATCGCCTGGAGAAGATTTCCTCTTTTGAGTTTTATAGGTGATATAACCAAGCTCAGAAGTGATGAGTTTGCTATGTGGGGTAGAGCTGAAATTTGGTACCACAGCCCGGCCCTAAGTTCTTTCTACCAAATTGATGAAAAACTATTCAATTTTTTGTAAGAATAAAAAAAGATACGGTCTCACAAACACCTGCTCTACATGGTCTCTGACCTGTCTTCTTATCTGTCCGGCACTCTTTCGCTTCAGTACCAGGGGAGAGGGTTCATGTCAGATGTGTAATTGGACAGTACTGCTTCCACTCTGAATTAATTCAGAGTTTCTCTAAAAAAGCTGAATTCTGCATTGTCAAATTTTTTTTCTATTTTTTTTGAGAGGTTTTTGCTATAGGGCGCATGCGCTCACCAGACAGACAGAGACAGAGAGATAGAAAGTGAGAAATTACCCCCCAGAGGGGATGGCCACGCCGCAATTCCTTCTCCTCCATTCTCCTCTTGGGATCTTGGGCACACACGCCCATGCGTCCGGCGTGAGTTTGAGCCACCGGGTCCTGGACTCGAACCACAGTCGACCACATGGGAATCCAGCAACATAGCCATTATGCTAACTGCTGGTCCCCCAATATTTAGCATCATCTTGACCTCTACACACTAGTTACCAGTGTCACGCCTCAGAATCGTAACCACTGATAACGTCTCCAACACAGCCAACTTTTCTAAGAGTAATGGTCGGTGAAAAATTATGGCCATTAGAAAAACAATGCTCTAACCCAGGGAAAGTCTCCTCCCCCATTAGGAACCATAGATTCCATTGATTTTCTATTTTATCACATGTCTTTCCCCCGTCCCTCACTGTAGCACGTGAAGGTGTTCCTGGTTGCTCAGAGCAGACATGTCCTCTCAGGGTGCCCCACAGTATCTCTGCCTGAACCAATCTCCCATTCCACCCAATGGCTCTCCAACTCCTTATCAAAAATGCAAAAGCAACTGTTATAATCAGTCTCACAATCAAGATTCCAAAGTGACAGGGAGAGGCTGTGGTTGCAGAGGCCAAGGAAAGTGGTTTCTGTGGGAAGTCACCCAGTTCAGTCCCATCAGGTAAATCTGTGCACACAGAAGCTTCAAACCCAGGAACAGTGCAGGGTGAGCTCAAAGGATGCATGGGTTTGACCTGCTTGAGCACCCCATTTGTGGAAGTCTCAGTACGTTTCTCACAAGAGGAGCTGAATAATTTTGTTTGGGTGGTGTAGACTGAACAGGCAGGAAAGCTGCGTCCTGAAGACAGCGCTGATAGAACGCCCCCTGCCTATGTGAAAGCTAGTCCGTGTGTCTTGAACAAGTCCTGTCTCCTCCTTAGGCTCAGTTTCCCAAGTGCACCACAAGAAGGGTGAACCAAGTGCTTCCCAGGGCACCCCATCTCCATACATTGCTGACTACTGCCCAGAGCTGTCCTCCACAAAGAAGGAGCAGTCCTCGGTGGACGTGGCTGCCCACTCTCCGGGGTGGGGATACCTGTGCATGTATTAAGGGACCATCTGAATTCCAGTTTCCCATCGAGGTAGAATCAGCAGGACATTGGGATGTCTCAGGTGTTGGGGGTTCAGGATGGAAGCCATGAAGAGCTCGGGCTGCTGCAGCCCCAGGAGAACAGAGAGAACAGGAGGAAGGGAGGCAGCCAGGGACAGCGGGGAGAGGAGGGAGCTGTACCTGGGCGGCTGCTTCCAGGAGGTGTGGAGCTTGGCTGTCCCAAGGACCTGGGTCCATCAGGTAGATGAGAAATGGGAGGCGACGTGGTCTCATAAGAAGACGCCATGCAACCGCACACAGTGTTACGAGAGCAGCTTGCTTAAAGAAAGGAAAAGCCTGAAAAGCCTGTGGGATCATCGTCTCGGCAATTTGACCTCTAGAAACCACTCTAAAAGAACGACAAGTGAGGTCAGTTTCCCCCCACAAGGATTCTATCGCGGCAGTATTTGAGAGTGAAATAGGAGCCAATGAACTGTCCACCAATACACACCAAGGTAAATCGTGGCATTTCACACAGAGGAATAACAGACACACGTAGTGTTAGCCTTAAAACTTTTACATAGTGTTATTGCAGCATAATAATAAACGCATCAAAACAGTGCATTCCGTTATGATCTCAGTCAAGGTAACCCGTGTGGACAAATAGTGACTGGAAATCGAGTTTGGGATAATTAAGAGGGGCAGAGGATTCCTCTGGTGCCTCTTCAGTATGTCCCCAATTTTCTCTTAATAAGGCGGGCACAAGTTACTTTATATTTGGAAAAAGGAATCTCAGCATTGGGAAAAGGACAATGGGGAAAAAAACAGTAAGAACTAGTCACAGAGTGGGAACCAGACAGACAGGGCCTGGGTGCCGGCTGGTCCGTCTGCTCCTCCTCTGACCTGAGAAAGTCTCACCTTCCTGAGCCTCCCTTCCTCACCTGCAGACCAGGAGGTGGGAATGCTGCTCTCCTCCCGCTGGGCTCCCTGTGGAGATGGAGCAGCAAGGACAGGGAGGGGACTGGGTCAGGGGGGAGCCCTGCAGAGTGGGCAGAGTGCCCCCCACACACCCTCAGCTGCTATTCTGGGCTCCAGCATCAACTGCTCAGAAGTAGTTGCAGCTGGAAGTCTCTGGGGACAGAGGCTGGGCAGGAGGGGAAAAGGACACCTTAGGGGATCCCCTGAGGAGGCATCCCCACCACCTCTGTCCCTGGTTCAGCCCAGCTCTCCCCGTCTGCTTCCTGCTTGGTGGCCACTTCTCCGAGTCTCCTGGCTCCCGACTGATTCTCACCTCCTCACTGTGCCCCTGGCCAGACGTCAGAGAAACAGCCCTACCACTCCGGCTTGCCCTGCTGTACCTGTGTACCTACCTTCTTGTCACCCAGTCTTGGAGGGCACTGTCGCCTCTGTGCTGATTCTCCCCCTTCCTCCCAGCTGTGGTGGTTGTATCCTGGGGTCCCAGTCAGAGACTCTTCATGTAGGGGACCCAGCACTCCGGTCTGAGGCCCAGAAATCCCAAAGGTAGTTTTTCCACAGCAGATGAAGGGAGTCCTCAAGTGGCAGAGGTGGACTCCGTGGGCAGCTGACTTCCCCATTACTCCAGCAGGGAGCCTGCTAGTCCCAGAAGCAATTTAAAGTTCGGAATGTCAGGTGTGTGCAGGGTGCAGGGACCAGGCAGCCTGGGCTCTGGGGACCGCATCTCCTCGTTCCAATTAGAGACGGTGACTAGGACACGGCCTGCTGGAGATGGAGAGGAGCCACCGAAATTCTGGCTCGCTCCTCACCTGTCCCCGGGTCTCCAAGAAGCCAGTGCTGGCTTCAGGGAAGCACGTGGTCCCCAAGTTGTAGTCCTGGCATCCTGCGGGTGACAGACCCGTGTCTATAACAACAGCATGGTCTGCTATATTCATTGAGCTGCCACATGTACCAGCCACGGCCACAAACATCCTTCATACTTTAGAAAAGTTCAGCAAAATCCAGGAATACATGTGAATTGGGTATCTACTTCCAGTCTGCTGAGAGAGCTTTGTATTTTTATCTTCTTATTTTTTTATTTGACCAAAGAGAGTTTTAAAAGTTAATCAACTGTCCCGAAACCACAAGTCTTGTGAGTGGCAGAGCTCATCAGTAGACTGTTCTTTTTTTGTTTGTTTTTTTCTTTCTAACAAAAAAAAAAACTTTTAGAGAGATTTTTGGTATAGGGCGCATGCGTTCAACAGAGAGAGACAGAGACAGAGAGACAGAAAGCGAGAAATCATCCCCCACCCCCGGGGGTGATAGAAATGCAGCAATTCTTTTTCCTCTTGGGATTTTGGGCA